GCTGGGCCTGCGTGTGTAGAGACCTTGAGGGGACCAGGGACAGGACAGGGGTGGCCTTGCCTTGCTTGGAGCCTGGTTGTTATGGGGGCCTCAGATCTGTGTCTGTTGTCTGCTAAGGTTGTGAGGCTGGGCGCTCTGAGATCGAGGCTCTGCCTGCCAGCAGGGATGGAGGGCTGCCTGCAGGAGGCTCTCTGTCGGGAGCTGACCAAGGAGACTCTCCCCTGCGTGCTCCAAGGTCAGGGCACCGGCTGGAAGGGCTGTGTCCACACACCCACCTCAGCAGAGGTGTGGGAGGGACACCTGCCTCTGACGTGATCCCTGCTAGATTCAGGGGTCCCCCCAGCTGACAGGAGCTCCAGGCCTGAAGCCCCTGAAGGGCAGCTTTGAGAGATGACACTGGAATTAGTGAGGGGCCGGGAGTCCTCGCCAGCCCAGCTACTGAGAAGCACGCCCTCCCTCAAGCAGGACCCAGACACAGATGCCCAGTGGAGGCTGGGCACCTCCTGGTGCTTGTGGGTAGCGTGATGAGAACCGACCCAGGGAGTGCCCGTCGTTGATAGTTTGTAGGTGCAGCGGTCATCAGGCCCCTCTTGGGTCTGGTCTCTATGCTGACACCCTAGTCCCCCTGCTAAGGGGGTGAGAGGATTGGGCCGCTCCCCAAGCTCAGGTGTGGCTGGGCTCAGGAAAACTACAGGCTGACCTGAAATCATGAGGAAGGAAGCTGGGGTGCTGTCATGCTTGCTCACGGCGCCCTGTGAGGCTGGGCCAGGGCAAGGCCCCAGGGAGGGCAGTGAGCCTCCAGGGGTCAGCATGGCCTCCCGGGGCTGGGAACCTGTGTGGAGGTGGCCAGAGCCAGTGCTGGGCAGGGTCCAGGAGGCAGGGGAGAGAGGGGGCCTCGAGGGAGGCCAGGAGCCCCAGCGTCCTGTGATGAGGGGAGAGGGCTTTTGGCACACCCCTCCAGCTCTCTCCAGTGACAGATGGACAAACGGGGCCCAGAGAGGGACAGCCCAGTGAGTTGGTGTCCGCAGAGCAGCAGGCTCTGGTGGGTGGGTGTTTGCCCATTTCCATGGGGTGTATAGTCTCAGCCTTCCGGTTGCCCAGTAGGTAGATAGAATTGGGAGGAGGTGGGCCTGTGAGTCAGAGGGCACCCCACTCCATTGGCCCCTGTGTCTCTACCCACCTGTCTGAGGGCACCCAAGTGCTTACCTGATTCTAAACTAGACTCTGTGCCTATCATGTTTGTGGTGCTTGGGGAATGTTGCAGTGTTCAGGCCAGCCTGCTCTGTGTGGGGCCCGGTCGGGCCTTCCCAGGCCAGCCCACTTCCAGCATGGAGCCCGGTCCGGCTTTCCCAGGCCAGCCCCCAGGCCAGCCCTCTTCCAGCATGGGGCCTGGTCAGGTCTGCTTAGGCTGGGCCTGCCCAGCACTGGGCTTGGTTGGGCTGAGGTGGGTCCGGCGGCGTCAGACCAGGCCCGGGCACAGGCGTGGACCCTCGGGGCTTGGTATGCCCAGTGTGTGCACGGTGGAGATGGATAGGGGTGCAGGAGGACACAGCTTGGAGGTGGTTGTGTGAAGCCCTAAGCCTCCCCACATGGTCTGAGGAGGCGGGTGGGCTGGGAGCCAGGCTGCCGGTCAGGACAAGCCCCTTTCCGCTGTCTAAGGAGGCAGCAAGTCTCCCCTGGATTCTGACCCCACTTGCCCCTGTCGGGCTGGCCGAGCCCCTCCTCTTCCCCGATCTGTGAGGTGTCAGGGGCCTAGTGCCAGGTGGCGAGGCTGGTTGGGCACAAATGAACCAATTCAGTGGATGAGCGCCAAGAGGAGTCCACGGGTACCGCCCTGCCTTCTCCCTGCCCCACCCGGGAGCTCAGGCCCTCGGGCAGCCGAGGAGGATCTAGGGGTCACGGTTGACCACCAGCCACAGCGCAGTTGACTTGGCTTGCTTTTTTAGGAGGAAAGCCTGTGGCGGGCTGGGTGGGGATGAGGGAAGCTGAGCCCTGGTCCACGGTCCAGGTGGGCCTTTGTCATGGCCCCTCCCTGGCTGAGCTGGCCCAGGTGTGGTCCCAGGCCTGAGCCAGCCATGCAGGAGGGAAACGGGTCTGTCTGGCCAGGGTCTGTGTCTGTGTGTGTGTCTCTGTCTCTCTCTGTCTGTCTGTCTCTCTCTCACACAGACACAGACACACACACACACACACACACACACACACACACACAGACAGACAGACACACACACACACAGACACACAGACACACACACACACACACACACACACACCCACACCCCCCTGGGTTGTTAGTGTTACGAAATACTAGGACCTAGAGTCCAGGCCAGAGAAGGACAAGGACCAGGGAGAGTGGTCCCCACGTCACAACGTAAGCCCTCATCACTGCTGAACCCCACGGTGGGCAAGCCTGTGTGAGTGCCGGCTGTGTGGTGGGCATGGGCCCCAGGAAACTCTGGTGGAGTTGGGGGTTTGCAGGACTGCAAAGAACTTTGGAGACCACAGAACAGAGAGGGCAGGGCAGGCCTAGGCCTTGGGGGTCAGGTGGGTCCTGATGGGGGCAGGAAGGGACCTCATAGCTGCTGGGGAGTGGTGGGCAGAGGTGGACGCTTGCTGATGGAGCTGCAACAGTGACCGGGGTGGGACTGGGGACTGTGGGCTGTGAGCCAGGGACAGTGCTGCGTCCTGGTGTACCCATGCCCACAGTTTAGAGGAGGGATTGGTGTGTGTCAGGAGGGATAGGGCCACCCATGCCGCCTGCCTTCTGTGACCCCTCCAAGGCAGGTCCCCTCCCAGCCCTTGGCCTCAAGGCCAAGTGTCCAGTCCTGCCCAGCTTGGTCTCCTAGGTCTTGGGGCTCCCAGAGTCCTCATAACACTTGAGGCGGTAGCACCCTGTGTTATGCACCCCAGACCCAGCTCCATGTGGGGACCCTCATGTCAAAGACCCTGGAATCCAGCTCCATGCAGAGACCGTGTTACAGACCCCAGACTCTAGCTGTGTGGGGACCCCATGTCACAGACCTTGGACCTCAGCTCCATGCAGGGATCCCCGTGCCACAGATTCCAGCCCCATGTGGGGACCCCTTGCCACAGACCCTGGGCCTGGGTTCCCTGTGGAGACCTATGTGTCACATACACTGTATCCCAGCTCCATGTGGGGACCTGTGTGTCACAGACCCCAGATTCCAGCTCTGAGTAGGGACCTCCAAGTCACAGACCTTGGGCCTGGGTTCTATGTGGGAAGCCCTGTGTTGTGAACTCTCAAGTTGTGGACCGTGGCTTGGGGTGGGGAAATCTCAGTGCTGTCCACCCTGGACCCTGATTCCATGTGGGGACCCCTTGTGTCAAAGGTCTCAGCTAAATATGGGGCCTGCACGTTGTGATGCTGGCTCAGTCCCAAACCCCTGCACTGACCTCTACATGTCCCAGACCCCTGTCCTCACCTCCCTGCCCCAAACCCCTGATTCTGGATCCTGGCCCCCTTCTCCAGACCCCATCCTGGCTGCACTCCAGGCCTGTGGCCTCTCCCCACAGGGCCTCCTGCTGGGCAGTAGGAGACCACAGGAGAGGAGCTGGGAGGGGTGGATATGGCCGGGACCCTACTTCCATGGGCGACTGGGCACTCCAGCAGGAGTAGACTCCACACCTGGCATTGATGGGAGGGTGGCAGCTTGGCCCTGGTCCTGCCTGGCCTCTGACCAGGCCCATCCCTGCCAGTGGTGACCCCCTCAAACTGATGTGGCCACAGACTGATGGGGGCTGCCACGGTCTGATGGTGGCCTCTGTGGTCCGATGGTGGCCACCGTAGCCTGATGGTGGTCACTGTTATCAGTTGGTGGCTGCTACAGTTCAATGGTGGCCGCTGCAGTCTGGGCAGAGATGTCTGGATTGAGGAAACAAGGCTGGGGTCGTTGTCCTCTTCCCAGAAGCCCTTAGCTTTGGCCAATGGGCACCGCCTGTGGCCACAGGTGTCTGGGGAGGGTGGCAGGCCGGGCGGGTCCTGGGAAAGGGGAACTGGGCACTGGGAAGTGCATAGCACCCATTCCTGACGCCAGCTCCTTGCCAAGGGCACTGTCCCTGGTCTCCCTCCTGCTCCCAGAGCCGCCACGCTGCTTCCCCGAAGGCTGAGGGACCCCGAGCCAGGAGGCTGGCCACCATGGGGACCGGGGCCACTCCCTCGGTGGGATGTGACGCCTGCTCTGGCCATGCGGCTGCACCTGCTGGCCTCACTCTCGGGCGACAGCCTGCTGTGGCGGCTGGGGGAACACAGGTGGCCGACAGGTGAGGTACCGGCCCGGGAGGGTTCCAGGTATACTGCCTGGGGGAGTGTTCATGAGCTCCTGGGGGCCTGCGCTCAGTGAAGGCTCTGGCTGGGATTCTGGGCCAGGGGCTGGACGCTGGGCATGGGGCCTTCACCTTGAATTGCCAGGTGGCTTGTGGGCATAGTCGCTGAGCCCGGGGGTCCCAATCCTGCCACTGCCCACCCTCCCAGTACTCAGTTACTTCCCCAAGCCAGGCGGGACAGACAGTCCACAGGGGCTGCTCTGCAGGAGGCTGGGCCGCCGTGTGTGGGTCCAGCGTGTGTGTGGGTCCGGCGTGTGTCCCCTTGGGCTGGACTGTGAGAATCTGAGTGAGGAGGTGTGTGGGGGTGACTGGACGCCTGTGAGCTCTGGCCCTCAGTTCTGACCTTCAGTAGGGGGTAGGGGGTTGGGGGCTGCTGAGTGCGTCTGGGGTCCCCTCTGGTTTTGGCTGTCATGGTGGGTTTCAGACTAGAACGGCTCTTGCTGTGGTGACCGCACTAGGCCAGGCCGGGGCCGAGCCTGCGCCCGCCTAGGACGCCTCCTCCTTCTGTACTAACTCTTGGGTCGAGGGGATCTTGTCACACAGGGCTGACCTGGCCTGGGTGGGTGCTTGCATCTCATAGACCCCTGGAGGCATGTGCTTCCGGACGGCAGATGCCCACAGCGCTTAGGGAGAGGCCCAGCATGGGGCCAGCCCCTGCCCCTCGGTACCCTGGGCTTCCCAGGTGCCTTTTGTAATCATTTGACCCTACCCCAGGTGCCTCACCTGCTTCTGTGAGGGGCCGTGGCCTGGCCTCTCCTGTGCCCTTGGAGGTGGCTGTGGTGGGCGCTGTCTTTGACTGGGGCGTCAGTGTGTGGCCGGTTCCCCCTTGTCCTGTGACATCCTCCCCTGAGTGACAGGTGCAGAGCGGCACACTTGTCCTTGGTCAGCCTTGGGTGCGTGGGACCAGCTTTGCCTGCCCTGGTGGGGCTGCCCTGCAGGGTGGAAGGCCTGGTCCAGGGCTGAGCCTGCGAGCTCGTGTCTTTGGAAAACTCCACTTGTCAGACACGAGCTGTGGGTCCTGGGCTCTGTTCCTTTTGGAGTGGTGATGAGGAAGACTCTCTTCCTGTGGGTGAAGGCTGCCCGCTGTCTGTGCCTCATGGTGACCACAGCGAATAAGACCTGGCTCACTGTGGGCAGTGCAGGCCAGCTGGTCCTGGTGGCCAGTCTTCTGAAGTCCTGGCCGGTCACTTCAGCTCGTTGGGCACTTGCTGGAGGTGGGGTGAGCTGTAGGCTGCAGGGTTTGTGTCGGGGTTGAGTCTTCAGGACATGTTGATGAGCCCAGAGCCTCAGTGTCCCTGCGCCACGTTCGGGGAGCTGGGGTCCCCAGCAGGTAGCTGCCGTGTTTCTGTGTGTGCTCTGGAGGGCTAGGGAGTGCTCTTCTAGGCTGTGGGTGAAGTGAGGCAGAGGGTCTGGGTGTGGGCATCTCATGGGGGCGAGGACGCAGGTCAGTAACTTCTCGATGGGGGAGCTTGGCGTGGCCCGGCCTTCCTGCTGTCCCTGAGGGCTGAGTAGGTGAGGAGGACCAGCTTTGCTGTCCTGGGTCTGCACTCCCGACGGGCTGATCTTCAGCATTCTTTTTTCCCTTCGTGTCATCGAGTCAGATCTGACTGGCACAGGAAGCAGCTGCCCATCCTTCTCCAGAGGAGCATCAGGTGGATTCGAACCGCGTGCCTTTGGGATTGCGGTGCAGCTTCTTGCCACTCAGCCACCAGAGCTCCCGTGGGCCGATCCTCAGATGGCTGCCTCTTAGGGTCTTCCTCCGACATTGTTGTGGACAGGAGTGAGGCTCTGCTTGTGTTTCCTGACCGCTGGCCCACTCTCGTGCTTCCCTTGGCCCTGCAGGGTAGACTGTGGCACAGACCGCTGACTGCGGGGACTTGAGGGCCGGAGTGGGGACGTGGGGGAAGGCAGGGTCTGCAGTGTGTGCGGTAGGGCGTGACTTGTCCTCACAGAACCTTGGGCAGGGGACCCATGTTGGTGAGCAGTCATTGGTGGACGACAGGTGTCTCACCCGGAGCTGGCCAGAGCAGGGAGCGAGGAAGGGCCAAGCAACCTCGGGCTGGACCAGGGACTTGGGACTTGGTGGGGGTGAGGGGACCCCTGCAGTCACAGGGGAATGGCCCTGGTCAGTACTGAGCCCTGCTCTGCCCAGCGTCCCTGCAGCCTTTCCCCAGGACAGTTGTGGTGTCTGGAGGGAGAGGACTTCCTGGAGTTGTCCAGGGCCTGGACTGGGGTAGGAAGGAGGGTGTGGGGACCCCCGGCCGACACTGGCACGTGCCCAGGCCCTGAGGGAGGACATGCCTTTGCCCTGAGAAACCTGGCTTACGGCTGGGGCGCAGGATGATGTGAGGGGTTCTGGGAAGGGAGCTGGGGTGGGGACCTCTGCCGGAACCGTAGGGGCTGCTGTGCACACTGTAGGGGCTGCTGTCCTGTCACCACCTGCCCCATGGAGGTCCCAGCCTGTAGACGGGCCACTGCGGCAGGGAAGCCCCTCACCTGGCAGTGGGTGTCCGTTTCTCAGTCTGCATCACAGGTGGGGCCCGTCCCCAGTCTGAGGAGGTCGGGCCCATGCTGACTCAGTGTGGGCAGACCTCTGTGCCAGGGGAAGGCCCCTGTGTGGGGGCACTGGGGTTCTTAGAAAGCCGACCAGCAGGGCTCCCTGGCTCCAGCTGTCCCACATGAGCCTGTGGGGGGGTAAAGTCCCTGTCCCTGGGACTCAGAGTGGCCATGCCCCTCAGTGCTGGACCCTGCGCCCCAAGGTCTGCACAGGGTCAGTGTGGGTGACAGGAGAACACTGAGTCTTCAGGCCCCGACCACCCTGACCTTTTCTGTGTTGGGACCCCATGGTCCCCAAGGTCAGTGGGACATGGGCAGGGCCGCTGTCCCAGGACAGCTGGGGTGGCAGCCGTCAGAAGAGTCAGTGGGATGGGAAAGAGCGTTCCCCGAGAGAGTGGGTGTGAGGACCTCTCAGACGACATGCTCAAACTGAAACCGTTTGTCAATGAAGAGAAACCGCGGCTGGGTGCCCACAGCCTGCGGCCTCGGCCGGCCAGTCGTTGGGGGCTTCACCAGGCATTCCCCGCCTGGGGACCGGCAGGCGCCTCTGAGACCGCCTGGACGGAGGCTGTGGCCAGCGCCTGGCTGGGCAGAGATGAGTGCCCGCTAGCCTGCCCAAGATGGGGACCTCTCTGTGCCCCAGGGCTTGCGCCCCAGGCCTGTGGGGTGTCTGTGTGGTGACATGGGCCGTCCTCCTGGTGACTGGGCCGGCAGCTGCCCCATGTAGTTGGTCTCCACATTTAATAGGCTGTAGTCTTCACAGGCTGACGTCTTCACGGCTGTAGTCTTCACGGCTGCAGCCTTCAGGTGTCATCCTGGTCTGTGCTGCTGGCGGGGGCTCTGATTCAGGGGAGGGCGGGCCCGTGCCCAGCGTCACACAGCAGGCCTACCATGGACCCTCAGCCCCTCCATGGCCCTCCCTGGCACTCCTTCCATGGGTGTGCCCCTCTGGCTCCTCCACATCTCCGCTCTGGGCAGCAGGCTCCTACTGCAGGTCCTTCTGGGAGGCCAGGCCCTGGGTCCCTCAAGTGGCGGACCTGAGCTCAGCCAGCAGCCCCCAGCAGGGATTACTTGGGGGAGTCTTTGCTGGGCCATCTTAGCTGCTCACCACGGGCCCCTGGAAGAGGGCTGAGTGGTCAGCGAGGTTGTCTGTACCCTCCCTGCCCCAGCCACATTTGGGGGTGCCCGCACAGGGCTTGGGGAGAGTGAGGTGGGCACAGCCAGGACTAGCCATCAAGGGTGGGCCTGGCAGCCTGCTGCCCCTCCCCATGGCTGTCCTGTTGTGAAGGCTATGGGGTCTCTAGGGAGTTGACCTGAAAACTGTAGGGCACCCCCTCTTGAGGGGTTCAGATCTCCCCACAGCTCTAATGGAGAAAGATGACCAATCCCTTTCACGTGATTTACAGCCTCGGGAGTCAGTTGCAGAGGGTCAGCTGTGGGGGGTCAGCTCCTGGGGGTCAGCTGTGGGGGGTCAGCTGCTGGGGGGTCATCTGTGGGGGGTCAGCTGCAGAGGGTCAGCTGAGGGGGGTCACCTGCTGGGGGGTCCTTTGCAGGGGGTCGGGGTGTTAGCTGCTGGGGGTCTCTTAGGACTGGAAGCCAGTGAGTCTTGAGTTTTTTCCGTCTGGGACTCAGTTTCCTCCATGTGCCGTGGTGTCTGGGCAGAGCTGCACCTGCGCTGGGCACATCCCCGGAGGGACTGCCACAGATGTCTCAGAGTCTGCTGCCCCTGGTGGGGATCCTGGACTGGGGCAGAGCTCTGGTGCTGGTGCTGTGTGGACACCCCCTCTCTGCTCCCCTGGCACCTCTGAGAGCCGGTCTTGCCAGACCTCAGGAGCCCCTCCTGACCAGCTCTCCCTCCTGGCTGCGTTCACCACTTCCACTGTGGTGACTGGGCCCTGCTGCACCTGCTGACCACTGTCTCCAACCTCAGGGCCCAGCCACAGGCCCCTGTGTTGTGTGCCAGGGGGAGTGGGGCGACTGGACACCACTTCCTCTTCTGATCCCGCTGCATCCAGCTGGGGAGCCTCAGAGCACCGGCCCTCTGCCTCTTAGGGTGGGAGGTGGTCAGTGGCTCGGCCTCCGCTAGCTGGGGTGCAGGACATCCCGGCTCGGGGCTGGTCACTGGCACTGGGTTGTGCATGAGCTCTGTCACTCAAGTGGGGATTCGGTGCCAATGCTTGACACTTGCTGGCATGTGTGGCCTCTGTCTCCTTGTGTTGGACCAAGAGCCCAGGGCCTGTCCAGCCTGTGTGGTGGTGGGTGCCCACTTATGTCAAGCCCAGTGCCTGACTGCACCTGGGTCCTCCTGTCGCCTTACTCATAAACGCCTTTCAGAACCATCCCTGATCCCGTACTGAGGAGGGGCGCAAGGAGAGTGGGATGAGGTCCCTGACACTGAGACCCTCCAGGCTGGCAGGGGGAGAAGGGGAATCTGTCCTTGAGCTCTTCCCAGGGTGGAGGGAGAGAGATGAGACTTGCTTGTCTCCAGTTGGGGTGGTTGGCACCACCAGGGAATGTTTGAAATTCTTGTGTCTCGGCTGGGATTTCCTGGTCCCTGTGGTCTCTGTCCCTCAAGGGGCCAGGGCAGCACTGGGCCTGCCCTCTGGACGTCCTCCGTCCACCTGAGTGCCCTGCGTACTAGGGTTTGGGGCTGGGAGCTCACGATGCTCCAGGCCTGCCGGATAGAAGGTGGCATTGCGTCTTGATGGCCAGGGTCTCTGTATTCCACCCTGCTCCAGGGCCTCCCCTTCCTAGGGCGGGCATGCTCTGCTCCAGGGCCCACGGGCTTGGGTCAGACCCTGCAGCTGAAGGGTTTGCAGCTGGCCCAGGGCCGCCTGGCAGCCTCTAGCCAGATGGATGCCCCTCCATGTCTGCCTGAGTCTGCCTGATGCGTCATACCCTGATTTGAGGCCTTCAGCCCCTCACGAGAACCGAGCTGCAGTGAATTTCTTGGGGGCAGTTGCTGGGATTTGGGGCTGCGGCTGTGGTCAGGGAAGAGGGCAGAGCCACCTCGAGAAGCAGACATTCCAGCCAGAACTGGAGCTGTAGCCAACATTGGTCAAGGGCGGCCCAGGTGAGGTCCTTCTGCCTGGATCAGTGTCCAGGCCC